TGTCTCGTATGGCTTGAAGGAGTGATCTTCCTTGAGAACTGTGTGAGTGGCCTTACTGTTGAGGGTGAACTCTATTGTGGCTGAGGTGTTTTGTGAAATTGTCTCATTAATCATGGCAGTGCCAGGGAACAATATGTTGAGGCGCACATCAGCATTGGGAGCTACAGCAGCCTGCACATATTCTGTGTTTCTACTTGATTGAGCTTGCGAGGAGCACGATTGACCATCCAGCTTGGCGGCAGTCCCATTGACGACATACCAATTGTCATCTTTCTTCTTGAAGCAGGAGGCAAGGGCGTGGTTGATGCCGCCACACACCTGGCCGGCACGAGGGCCGTGCTTGATGACGTAGGGACACGGGGGGAAGCGGTTGCGCTGGAATGGTGCCAAAGCGGCATAGGTCCGAGGCACAGGAGCGCGGATTGCATTGGCCTTGGCTTGAGCGCTCTTGTCCTTTTCGGCAGAAAGGAGCGCGGATGAGACCTTGGCGAATATGAGGTCCGCAAGAGCAAGGCCCAAGAGCATCTTGTGTGTGACTTCGTATGCCGGAGTGAGGCCAACTAGGAGAGCGGCTGCAGGGGCTTGCTCGGGGAAGACTATCCCCGACTCCTTGAGTTCACCATGAATGGACTGCACTTTGGTGACATAGTCCGTCATGCTTGGCGAGTCCTCGAGCCACACTTGGAACATGCTGGGGATGAGTATAGCAAATCCCACTGCAGTCTTGTTCAGGAAGCGGTCTTTGAGGTAGAGACAAATGGCGTTGGCAGACGGGTAGATGTGGTAGGTTTTGATGAGTTCAGGAGGAGTGGTGCCCATGAAGACACAAATGACCGCACCATCGGCCTTCTCCCAATTCTTGTACTTGAGCAGTGCAGCAGCATAAACTGCTTCAGTGGCGGCATTAGCTGGATCGGCGACGGACATCTCGGGTTTAGGAGGCTCTTTGCCGTCATCGATGTTGAGAAGGACGTCGGTGAGCTCGAGCCCCTTCACCTCGTGACTGAGAAGATGCTTGTCGACACCATAGCGCCAAGCCTTGTAGTTGGAGCATGTACCGTCCGGCTCGAGACGAAGGAGCGGGATCGGGCTGGCGAGTGAAGTGGTTGAGTAAGCCATAGCCACTTGATTTTCGCAAAGTGGCGCTCTTAAGTCACCGATAGGAACTTCGGTGCTAGCGCAGCACTTATGGAAATCGGTCGACGAGAATTGCTGAAAATCACTTCGACGGCTTCGTCGAAATGCCGCTAAGAAGGAAATGGCGTCAATGATAATTCGTTAAAACGCCGACTTGAAACTGAATCTGAGACTATGTCTAACCCCAGACCCACACACCCCCCCACATATCCCCAGGCCCTGTCCCGCAGCTATATAGCTCCGCAACCAGCTCTGCAACCAGATCCGCTCCGCTTCCATCTGTGTACCTGCTCTTGCTTGACGCGAGATGTTCATGGAGGCGATTCCACGAGAGGAGTTCGCCTATTCTGGCAGGGCCCGAGGGGAAACTCGAAAACGAGTTTTAAGAGATGGTCGAAATTGAGATTCGACTAAGGAGAACTGAGGAGGAAATCGACGATGAGAAGCATGAAAGCTTTCGAGATGAGAAATTCAACGAGGTCGAGCGCGAAGGCGGTCGACTGCAGAGTGGAGGACGTCGAAGATTCCGGCGACTCGAGACGAATGTCGCGACAATGAGGTGCGCGTAGCGCGGGCACGTTAGGATTGGGACCTTGATCCACGTGCGCGGATAGGTCACTCTGATACCATGTAAAAAATAAAGCTAAAAGGATTGATTAGGTAAGGAGCCCAAGGCTGTATAAGTACATGGCAAGGTGAGGGAGAATGGATGAAGGGGGAATCGGAGAGAATCCCCACTGGGATCTTCGGAAACTCCAATTGGGTAATTGGAGATTGGGGGGATCACAATTGGGTGAGGTTGGGATTTTGTGAGTACACCCCAACCCACTAGAACATTCCTAACCTAGACTATGATATATAAGTACAGATACAAAAGTGGGATTTGCAATCTATTTCTAACACCTCTAACCGTGGTCTCCAGCGCGGGAGGTCCCCTGAGCCCTTGCACGATGCGGTGGATTTGGACCCAGATTTGAAGTCGGCCGAGTTGCTCACTAGACTTCCCACATTCGAGAAGGAAATCAATGTGAGTGCCTTCTGTGAGTTGCCCGAGTTGGCCGCATGCATCCCCCCCTATCCAGTGCCTACAGAGCTGAGTCAACCGTTCCCACCCCTCCCCCCCCCCCCCCGACCCATCGCTCCAGGTGCCCTCCATGCGGGGTCGCCATATTCGTGCTTGCGAAGGGGCATACGGTCGGGATGGTGGGATTGCCTGCTATGCGGATGCTGTAACATTTTTCCTGTCTCGTCCACCCTGCATTGTGCCATGGCCTTGTTCTGCCTTGGCAGACCTTTGTGAAAGCGGTGATCGAGCTGCTGCTTGACCAGGGGCGTAGCGTACTTCCCATTCAGCGGCTTTCAGGCAGAGGCTCTGCGAATCGTACTTCGCCACAAGTATGCTGTCATCGCTGTCAATGTAAGTTAGGCATTGGGAACCAAGGAGTGCGTACACCGGTACGCCAAGACGCTGACCAAGTTCGAGAGTGACTCGTCGTCGAAGACGCGACAGGCTATCTTGGACGCCCTCCGCATCAAGGTTGGGACGGATGGGATATGCAATATCAAGATTCCCAAGGAGCTCAAGGACGACCTCTGGAAGAAGCATGGCCCGCGTGAGTGTACCCATATCTGTTGCTGTCATGAATGTGCCAGCCACTATGTGTTCGTCTTGCCCGTGCAATCCGCGCTTGTCTCTGGTTGGTGGTGTTTTCTCTAAGAGTGTTTTTTTGCATGGCCATCCCGCACACATCACGCTGGCATGTCAAACCCTTCCCATGCCCGCCATCCCGAGCTTCACAGAGGCCAATCTACGGCAGGCTGTTAGCTGTTGGAGCCATGCGACCCGTGATCTGCGCCTATCGATAGGGGAGGAGTTCTCAGACGCCTATGTATCGGTGTAGAAGGAGTGGGTGTGCGATGGGGTGATCGTCCTCGTCCCGTACCACATAGGCTAGATGATGATGTCGGTAGGTCTGCTGATGCATCCTGGGGGCATCCCATGATTTAATGGCACTGCTCTGTGGTGTACGGGTCTCGGCGTTCTGCCGGGGATCTAGACCTGACTACTTGATTCCAACACGTGGTTGCATTTGACAGAATCATGGTTGTTTAGTGGGGGGCAGGATATTCTTGGATGTGTCTCTGTGCTACGAAGGTAGCCATGGATGTTGCAGGGTGTTAGAGAATGGGCTGTTGGTGTCCGTACCCGTGCGCGAATGTGCCACCCCAGCGTGGCATGTTTTGTCATTTGCCAGTTATGAACTGTCTATATGTTTGTTCGATTCTTGTCGTAGTGTACGCTTAGACAGTTTTACCACCACTATATGGTACTCAGTCACCTTATAAAGAGTACAAAATATTCTCTCTGCCATTTCGAACTGTCCTGCAGGTGTCATGTAACGGTACCACGGACATCCTTGGGTGGTCCCAGGTAGATCCCCATTGGCTCTCTGTACTGACCTCGAAGTATTCCCCAAACCCATCTAGGTGCTGTCCTACTCTTGGTCTCACAACCGTCCTAACGCCTATGTCCCGGCACCGACGCAAAAGAACCCTGCAGGACAGTTTCGGGAGCCTTTGGGGACCTCATTTTTTAGAGATGCAGTACACATGTTCCACGCTAAAAGAGACGGGTTTTTTCACGCGACTAGGGCCTGTTCCCTAGAAATTTCAAACCACGGGCAAACGGGATATTAGTCTGGAAAATGTAAAGTAACTCCCAGACATGTTGCATATTTAAACTGTTTAGGTGGGTGGGGCGGCAGAATCTGATTGGCCGACGAAATATTATAGAAACGAATAATTACTGCGAAAAGAGGGCTTCGCGGAGTCAGCGTTTGTTCGTGCAAGGCAGCGGGGCTCGAAACTTGGCTGGGATGCCAAGTTTTGAAGCTCTCACTCTGGCGGAGAAACACCTCCCAAGCTCTGCCAAGTTTGCAAGGTGAGTGGTTGGCTGTTTACATCACAACTAGCACCTCGTCCTGACCGGTTTCGAAAACAAAAATCGGATGCAGTTTGGAACGCTCTATAGTTCGATAATATGCGATTCAAAAAAATCGAAGCACACATTTCTTTCGCGATTCCCGCCCAGACTGCGAGTAGAATTGTAGGTTTCTACCCTCCACTCAACTCGCCCCATTTCTCCACTCGAAGAACTTGGCAGCTTGGCACTGCCAAGTTCCGAGACGTCCCCATCCCTGCCAGGTTGGAAACCCTTCGCGATCATTTGGGGGGCCTCAATATGCAACATCTTGCAACCTTCCAAAAGGGGACTTGCTAACTGCCGGTCGGACTTCAAACATTTCGGCCAAGATTTTGGGGTCAATGTGGTTCAGTTCTGTACCTAGTTGCAGCAGCGCGGCAAGGCTCGAGTAGTACGCGTGGCCACAGAGGCCAACACCGCTGATATCTTCACCAAGGGACTACTGCCTCGTGACCATCTACTCAGCTTGATCTAGTCTTAGTAGCAGCGCCACTCCTTGTATCCTGACATCTACTATACCAGCTTGTACTTGCCATCCATATACTTGCATGTCTTGCTACGCCTACTGACTGGCCTAGTGGCCCCTGGTCTCAGTGGTCGGACTAGTAGTGTTGCCTTGAGTTGTCTTGTTACCTTCACCAGAGGCCAGACTAGTAGTGCTGCCCTAGTTAGTTAAAATCTGCCTCTACCTAGGCTAGGGAGTGTGTCAACAAACATTTAGTTGTGTCTACACATATCTAGTTAGTTCAGATATGTTTGTTTTAGCCTAGCTAGGTCAGTTCTTAGAGGGGACAACATTCTCATACTTCTATCTCCCCTTCCCCCTTCCTAGTCACAAATTGTATTGCTACTCTAGCAACTGCATAAACTTGTATAATTATAGGCTAGATGGGTTCGTGTCCTTAGGGAGTACAACAGACAACCTTTATATCACCATGTATGCCTTGCAAGTAGTCAATTCGCTACTTTGATAGCGACGTAAGCTGATTTTCAAGATATATGCTCTTGCTGTTGCCACAGCCCAAGCACTTGCCGCTGCTGCTGGGTACTAATGCACTGGACCGTATTCGAGAAAGGCTTGGGGCCTCATCACTCTCTGCAGTTGAAGTGCCAGATTGAACTACGGTGGCTCTGGGCACATGGGTGGCTTTGAAGCCGCCAGCCCAAGAATCCGCTCACCAGCATCACCAGCAGGCACATTCAATTCAGGGATGAATCAAGCAACGGATATCTTTTAGCTGCTGTCTGTGCCGTGTCTCTCATGAGCTAAGCATCATTGCTGCTGTCAAAACTCATGGCAGGGTCTACAAACAGTCATCCATACATGCACTTTCTGCCTCAAACGCAGGAATAAGTGAACTTGCCTCTGATTAGCAGTTCACGGTCAGTGGCAGCAGTTCCAGAAGATGTACATCTGAGACTTGATCTCTTTTATCAGCTGCTTCCTCCTACCTGCTTCTGGACATTTTGAATCCTGCAGGCCTGCCGATGGGGCAAACGTGTGGACCTGCTCTTGAACTTGCTGCTGCAATTGGTGTTGGTGCTGTTGCTGGCGCTGGTGTTTGTGCTGCTGCTGTCGAGGACTTGTACACTGCACGATACTCAAGCAAGGGCTGGGGATTTCATCCCTATGCACACCGTGGTCGAAGCCTGATGGCTCCAGACCCACGTCACCAACGCCAAGGGTGGCTTGAACCTGCTGACCGTGTATCAGCTCACTGGCCTCATGGGCAGGCAGGTTCAAGTCAGGGATGGATCGCATGGAAAACGTGGTGCCTTCACGAGGACACGTGGTGCTGCCGTCACTAGGACGTGAGGATGCATCAGCTTCAGCCGGCTCGGCCATGACTGTGTCTGGAGTGAAGTTGAAGTTTGCGGGGCTGCTGCTCCTGCTGCTGCTGCTAGACTCTGTGAAGCGCTCAAGAGGCGGGTCTGGGAATATCTGCATCCCTTGCGGCTCCTTGGCTCGGAAGTAAGCTGGCCAGCTTGGCCGCGCACTGAAGGAGCCCCCAGCAGCAGCAGCAGTGGCGTCAGCGGTGGCAGCAGGATTCGAGACGGCAGCAGTGGCAGCAGCAAGAGCCGTTAAGCCTGGAGCAGCATCAGTAGTAGCTGGATCCGCAGCAGCAGCATGAGCCGTTAGGTCTGGAGCACCAACAGCTGCTTCACTCTGCGACCTGTTCCAAACCTCCCCCAGTTGATTCTCCATCATCCCTTTCTTGGGTTCCAGCACACCGCAACTGAGGTGCCCCGGGGTTGCTCCTGCGGGCCTGCCTGCTATGCGCTGTGAACACATCTCGTGCGTGGAAGGTGCCGACATTGCTGCCGCGTCTGCTGCATGGGGCCTAGGGCTCTTGAAGCCACGCGCCTGACAGCCATGGTTGGCAGCAGCACCAGCAGCACCAGCAGCAGTAGCATCGTGAGAAGCGTAATCACAATCGCCCTTGCGACGACCCCGCTTCTTCGCTCGTGCGGCCTCCCGGTGTGTGTCGCTGGGCTCGTGTCTGCAATCTCCCGGCGGAACCCCGTATGCTGCCACCAGCTGCTTGGCCCACTGGCTGCGAGGCGCCAGCAGTGCAACTTCCGGGGGAGCTGCCTCCATCATGTGACTGACGGACAGGTGGCGTCCGGTCCAGATTCCCTCAGCGATGGGTTTCGGTTTTTGTGGCAATGTGGATGTCGTAGGGATTTATCTGTGATAGGACCCGTCAGCTGAGCTGTGATATGACCCGGATCTCAATCTTTCCACGATGATTGTAGCAACGAGTCAGTTTCAATTCGAATAGCAAGCCCTGTACAACTCCTGGCAGGCGTCTCCCCCTCGGGATATAGAGTGGGTGACAGGGCCCCTGGCAGACCAAGTACTCCTGAGCCGGACACAGGATCTGACTCGTTGTGTGGCGGATGTGTGACAACGGGTCTCACCAGATCCCTCTGCACACTCCCGTCTTGAGAATCTGTTTTTGAGGCGCCACGAGCATCCGAGCAATCTCCGTGCACGGCCTTTCCTGCCAAGAGCCGCTCTGAGAATCTGCGGTGCTGGATTTGGTGGCTGTCCGCCAGCCCCCCTCTTTCAGACAGAACCCCTCCTGACTGAGACAGAAAGCCTCCCAAATCAGGGAGAACTCCTCCCAAATCAGACGGAACTCCTCCCAAATCAAAGAGCTTGACAGAATTCGTTGACGCCTATGCGGCCTGAGCTTGTTCCTAGAATTGGGGGCCCTAAAACGGCTCTCTCGAACCCTAGGTGGCGGCCGTTGTTGTTGGCGGCGTTGCCTCACACCTGAAACTGCTTCATTGAACCAGCCTAGTGCTGGTAGTACCAGTACTACTACTCGTAGAAGGCTCGCTCTGGAGGGAACGCAGGTGGATTGTGAGAGCTCAAGGGAATGGGCGAAGCTAGGAACGAGTGGCGAGAGGGCTAATTGCCAACATTATGGGAGTGGGAGATTTATCATCCTGATCCATCTCGGGCCCCCCTTCGCCACAACCCCTTCCCCCCCCCCCCCCCCCCCCCCCCCCCCCCCGCCTCCACGCCTCCTCCACGCCCCCTCCACGCCCCCTCCATGGCCCCTCCATCCCAATCAGGGGCATTCAGGGCTGCTCTGGCTGGGCTAGGATGCCGCTGGTGGATTGGTTGCCACGCAGTGTGCTTCCGCGAGAGGGTTGCTGTACAAGCTCTACCACCTCCCGGTACTGTCCTGTACTAGGAAGTCGCTGGGACAAGGAGGGGGCTCGGGGTTGGATCCAGAGGAACTCGACTAGAAGGGAGCTCGGGGCTCGGGTCGGGATCCAGGAGGGAGCTCGGGGATTTGCATGGGAAGAACTCGATTAGAAGGGACTCCAGTGGTGCGCTGCTGGTACTCGATTCTTGTGCATCTCAATCAGTGGCGATTCCCACAAGATCCACAGATATTGGCAATATCATCGCTGCTAGCTGGCAGCTTTCGCAAAGGACGTCGCTAAGGCATTGTGGCAGGGCAGGAGCTCTCGCATACCAGAGCGTGGGCACTCTCCCACGCTCCACGTGGAACGGTCTGAGCCAATCAAAGTGCTCAGTACTTGAGGGGTTACAGCTGTACCCCAATGCACGTGTTGGGAATGCGACGCAGCGCAGCTTGTGACACAAACTTGCGATCATCGGAGAAGAGGGGGGCGAGTTTTGGTACTTGCTTTTGTGTTGCCGGGGTCTCGCCATTTTGGGGTGAGATCCTCGGAACTTCCTGGCCAGTTGTTTGCGATTTCTAGGTAGGTCGTCATTGGTGGAATCTTGACACGGTGGACTGGATGCACGCGAGTTGCTCTGATTGGCGAGAGGTTCACAATACGTTTTCGCAAGGGGGGCAACCTGCCCTTTTCCGCTGGTCGTTAAAAATTCTTTAGTAACACGTTTGCGAGAAGCCTAACCTTGAGGCGGGTACATCGCCACAGAGTGACCTGACTCTACATTCGTTTTTAAAAGGATGTATGAACAGCTTCATTACGTCATGCATTATTGCGCTCTATATTACAACCTATTTCCGTCATTCGTCGAATAATTTTATGTGCTAAATCGGAAAAAATTGTTTTGAATATTTTTTACAAATGTAATTCGACATGCGTTCTAAGTTGTTTGGAATAGTTTAAATTTCTGTAACGCATAACGGCGTTTCAAGACGTATCTATTTGTTATTGTAAGTCTTGTAGAGGTTTTCCTTATTTTGGTGAGTCTTTTATGGCAACGTAATTTTCTTGTTGTTGTATATAGTGACGGGTTTTTGTTGTTGCATTCTGCAGTGTTCTGTGCGTTATATTGACAGTGCGCTGCCCGCCACAGCACAGCCCAACTTTGGTTGGCTCGCGCCGCCCAACAAAATCTCGCGCGAAATATCCAGCAGTTTGGGTCGTACTTCCCGGCCCGTCACGCAACGGCCAGCGTGTCAAGTCAGGGCTAGCGTGTCAGAGCGTGAGTGGCCCAGTCAGCGAATGGCGAGAAGTTTCGATCAACAGGGGGGAGCGAGCAGCCCACTGATAGCTGTTGCTGCGTCCAATTATAATCCTGCGTAACGCTGTGTTATTGGTTGAAATGAATACTTAACCAGTATTGCAAAGCCACGTCGTATGGACCCATGATGGCATTTTTCTGCGCTAGTTCTGCGCTAGCACTCGAATTCTCACCACCTTCTCCAACCCCGTCTTGCTTTCAGTGTTGGGTCAAGCCTTCCTAAGCTGACTCTGGTACAAGGAAAGAGGCGTTCTAGGAAGCTGCACGTTAGACGAATTTGCCACCAGTGGCGACTCCTGTACGTCCCAATTCTGGTTTAGTAACTCGTACTCCAGCCGCTCCTAATGCGCCACTTTAATTTCCAGCCGAGATGTACTTAAGGTATGTAGGACGTTTTCTGAGCAGATTCGTTTCCTATTTACATGTCTATTTCTAAATACAGCTTGTCATCCGTAGGCAATAACACATGTTTAATTAGATTCCCGTCTCATTTCCTCCATTAGGACAATGTAGTGTCCAGCCTAGATGGTTCTTCAAGCGAAGATGACCCTTCTCTTATAGGTTACCCCTTGACATTCCTCAAAAGGCCTCGTTAATTGATTGCTGGCGCTCCAAGCTCCTAGCATGGATTTAGGTCGTGCTCTGATCCTACTCACCTGGTCGCTACTCCTAGTTGTACACAGCCATTCCTCGGTAGTAGGATTGGTGCGTATGGCTGGAGTTAGGAATCTCCCCATCGCTTGTGGTGAACCGGGTTGCATTGAGAGGTTCTCCTGTCCTAACGAGAGACTGCTGCACCGCCGACAGAAAATACATACGTTTCCAGAGCAACCAGCAGGGCAACAAGCACCTAGCTTCCGCGATCTAGAGGCTTTACAAGAGGTAATAGAGCAGACAACAGCTGATCGTCGCACCAAGCGTAGAGCTAGTAGTGTGCCTAATGAAGGGGACTGTATTCCCGATGGACCATGTCCTTCGGGAGATTCACGCCCCAACATGGACGCGAGTGGATGCGGGGTGGCGCACGAGAAGAGCCTGAAGAAAACGTCCACAGATAAGCGCTTTTTTGTATTTTGCAAAAAAACAGCAGGAGGCATGGGGTTATCTCGGCCAGAAATTGCAGAGCTGGTAGATATTATGAAGAGCAGTCAGTTAGATCCTTGCACTTTCGAATCAATGGCGGACGTTGACCGTTTTGAGGAGAAGGAAGCTGGTGGTGTGGTGATGGAGAAATTCAGGGATAGCGATCTAGCATCTCCCTCAGATCGGAAGCCGATCATGCTGCGATGGCGTTCCTTGTGGTCTTGTGCCCATCCCTTCATTCCTCTCTGCCCATTCCCCTGCCCCTCTCTCTCCATCCCTTCATCCCTCCCTTCCCATCCCTTCATCCCTCTCTCTGCCCATCCCTCCTTCCCTCTTGATCTGCAGATTCGTCACAAGTTGCGCAATCCGAACATGGCACGCGTTCAGCTAGAAAGGTCTGGAGATCCTGATGCCCTCGGAAGGCAGGAGCGCGTCGTTCAGCGCCTGCTCAACCGGTTCCAGGCCACCAAGTACAACGGCAACAACTACTTCATCGGCAAGCTGTACCTCATGGATTGGGTGGATGTCCCAGAGAACATCCTGGCCCTTGATTTCGTGGGGGACCGTGACGTAGATGATGTGGTTGAAGGCGACCTGAATGGAGAGGGTGTGGAGGTTATTTTCTGAAGGGAGCGATGGGGCAGGTGGAGAAGGTCATGTTGCATCTGGATGTGCTTCATGATCAGGGATGTGATTCAGAAGTGCTGCTGTTTTGGAAGTTGATTACGGTTTGTCTTTCATGTTGGATGAGGAGGTATTGTTGAGGGTTGTTTTTCATTGCCAATAATATCTGTTATGGTTTGCGGGTTTAATAATGAATGGAATAATAACGACCTAAACCCTGAGTAATACAATTTTTCAAATCGAGCTATATAAATATTGTCAAAAATTTATTCAGTTATATATATCAAATATACGTACAACATAAGTGTTTAATTTACTGTCCAGTGATTACAACTCGTGGCACAAAAGATGTCCATTGCAGCGAAAGTCTAATAACAAAATTGGCGAGTCGAAGCAATACGATCGCAACTCTCCTTCGACGTGCACACCGAACCCCAATTTCCGAACCGAATTGCTCGACGCGATTCGGTTTGGTTGGGAATGTTGCGGGAAAGACGAAGACGTTCTTGAGGACGACTCGCCAATTCCCAGACAACCCCCTCCGAAGCAAGGGACTTTCCCCCAACACACCTTCGACTTGAAAAACCTTTCCCCCCCTTCTCCGATGATTCCGCGTGCGCGCGAACAAGACAAGGGTTGGCTGTAACTGTCACTGTCGCACACAACGAGAGTTGCTCATTGCTGTGAATCTCGGATTGCTGCAGCCACTGAATCTGGGGGGTTCGTTCGACTGGCTTTGCGGCAGTTGAACTAACCGACGGTTCGACGACTCAGAGGCCAACTTTGGGATCACGGGATGAGCCGAGGAAACGACATATCTAGACCCAGATCAAAACGTATCCGACAGAAATGCACCCGAATCTTCGAATCTGCGATTTCTGTAGAATCGCCCAAACCTGACACAGTCAGCCACATGTTGGGCGATATAAAGGTACAATTGTTCTGCGCAGCCGACAGAATGGTGATATATACGTACAGCTGTTCTGGACAGCCTACAAAACAATAAACCCGTAGGGACCCAGTATGTGACTCGGGGTGGCATCAACCCTAAACTCGAAAAAGGGCCGCGGGTTTCGGGTTGATACCATCTCGAACAGCATGTCGGGCCCCCATGAAATATATATATTTGCCCAAAACACTGCCCAAAATGTCATTGTCTAATTTGGCATTTTCTGCCGAATTACAACGCAACAAATGCACAGCACTACACGTCAGTCTGAAACAACTAACTGCGCGTGGCTAAGAATCTCCCCTCTCATTGGCGCGAAATATTTGGGTACATTCCTCTCGGATTTGTTTTGATCTGGGTATATATTTGTCGTTTCCTCCGATTAGCCACGAGTCCGAATACAGTACACCTAGCCCGCGGTATTTTAATACCCTGTATTTTCACAGGGGGTGCCGCCTAGAGGGTATCAACCCCCCGAAAGCAGCTCCTGAAGACCAGATTCGGATACCCTTGAAAAAGAAATTGAACTTGAGTTTTATACGCAAAGTTTCGTGCTCGATTTAGTGTTTCTCGAGTCACGAAACCCAACGTCAGCTTAGGCAGTGCTCAAAGTTTTTGCCCGCTTGGACTCTGGCAAGCGTAAGCAATAGGGACAAGGGGGTACTGTCTACGCACTCAGAAATGGTCGGGGTGGAAACAAAAATTCTTCTGCCGCCAAGTTTCAGGGTATGAAATTAAAATGTAGACTCTGGACTGGAATGGGTCCGATGGTCGATTCATGATGGCAGATGACTGACGGACTGGTTCACATGAATCCATGATCGTCTGGCGACGATTCCGATCATTCCCAATGAAATGGAAATCCAGATCAAGATTTGGCCGTTGAGTCTGAGCTGCCAGCTGGCGGCATCGGATACTGAGCCGGGGCTCAGCCGCTGAGGCGAGGGTCTTACAGAGTGACTGTGGTACTGAGGGCATGTAGCCCAGATCTAGAACGCAGGTGTGCCCAAACGGACGTGGGGGGTACAGTGAGTTTAATGACGGTTTAGAATTTATTCAGCTGGATAACTGCGCGGTACAATGCGGTGGAACTTCATCCGAAATTTGTTGGAGAGCTTAGGTTCCACGCCAGACTCTCTTGTATCGAAAGCTGTAAGCCCCCCCCCCCCCCCCCCCCCCCCAAACTACCCCCACCCTCTCCCCCTCCTTCCCTGAGGCAGGACAAAACGACGGCTGCTGCCGAAAGAGCAGCGCACGCGTGCTTTTTGGGGGAAACGGCCTTGGCGGATTCGTACGCACCAGAAAACCATTTCGAGCAAGTGTCGCAAGACTCCAACGTTCTGGTAGGAATCAGACGCCCGTGCGGAAATTACGACAGGCAAATGCCGCCATCGCATTACACCTTTTCTCCTACTTCGTCTCACGGTTTTCGCACGCGGTTCAAACATGTCAGCAGGAAATGGTAAAACATGGGCAAACGGGACCTTGAAGGGGAAAACCCACATTAAACTCTGACACTTGGTTACAAAATCTCGCTCATGCACTAGATTATTTGCCTTCACGACGTCCCTGCTCTGAAACTTGCAATTGTCAAAATACATCTTGGTTGTTCGCTATCATTCAGACTACAGCCAATCAGGTTCCATCTCAACGCGAGTCATCATGAGAACCTGGTAGGTGGGATTGCAATTTGGACTGTTCCGGGAGGGACAATAGAGGAGGAAAGGTGTACACATGTTCCACGCTATGGTTGTCAGAAGAACAGTCCAAATTGCAATTCTCGCCTGATCTTGTCGCTCCTAGAGTCCCGATTGCAATACTCGCCCACACACACCCACACCCACACCCACACCCCCTAACCCCGCACACCCTCAAGCTCGTGCTTAGCCGGGTATCTGACCCTCGTGCTAAGCGTTGACACCCCCGGGCGAGAGGCAGCCTACGGCGTCTGGGCGGCTCAGCAACAAGCAGCGGCAGAGCTCTAGCTCAAGGCAGCTGTGTCGCTGGCGGCAGGCAGCGACTGCCGCGGCTGAGGGCTCTCGGCGGTGTGACAACGTCCGGGCAGAAGACAGCAGCTGCGACAGGAGGAAGGGAAGACGCAGGGGGAAGGGAGAATGAAGGGGTGGGGCGGGGAGGAGGGGCGGATGGCGGCGTGTGGGCGGCGGCAGCGTCACCGGCGTCGCACAGTCGGCTGCAGCCCGACGGCGCCGTCAAAGAGCGGCGTCGGCACTGCAGCGGGACGTCGACGCCGCGACATCAGCACGACGGCGCCGTCACGCCGCCACGGCCTGACGTCGACGGCGTCGCCACGGCTGCGTGCTGCGACGGCCGCACCAGGTGATGCGTGACGGAAACAGGCCGACGACACTACACAAAGGCCGCCGCGGCATCTTGGAAAAGATGCCACGGCGGCAGGCACCAGGAAGGCCGCGACGGCGGCAAACAGGGAAGTACGCAGCTGAAGCGACGGCACGACAGCGCGACGCCACAGCAGCGCGTCGAGACGGCCGCGGCACGACGCGGCCAGCGGTACGACGCGGCCAGCGGCACGAGACGGGCGCCATGGCAGCACGAGAAGCGCGAGTAGGCGGTCCAGCAGGGAGGACCTCCTGCTGTGATACCATCTCAGAAACTTAGGATTATAGGTTCCTAAAGTTAGGACACTAGCTTAGCTAGGCTACTAGAAAGGCCGCCATGAAATGGCGTGAGGAAAGTAGATCTAGGAACGTGAGGAGAAAGTTGACGAGAAAGAAGGGATTGGATTAGGAAGAGGGAGCAGTACAAGGAGGGGTTTGTACCCTCTACAGTAAGGTTCAGTTACTTACCAAGCCTACAAATTATATAACACACTATATAATTTTGACACTATTGTCAGCAAACACGACTGGGGCAAACCTAGGCTGCTCACCAAAGTCTGTGAGCAAGAACGTTAGCTAGCGAAGCTCTTGAGCGGCCATGGCCCAAGCGTAGATCTCTGCCTCACAACCGGACTAAGCTTCAGACGACGACCTGGTGGACCTCCATGAGACTGCACCAGCACTAAGTCTAAAATAGTAGCCATTAGACGACCTGAGCATCTCCACGTCGTCAGACCACCACGTGTCTGTGTGTCTAGTGAGCACCACTGGCTGCTGTCCTCCTAGTACAAGCCCCAATTTTGATGTACTCGCCAGATATCGTAGTACCCTCTTGGCAGCTGCAAGTGGATAGGTCGGTGCCTGCCTGTCACAACAAACAAGCCAGGAGACTAAGAGGGTACGCTAGATCTGGTCAAGTGCAGGTTATCACGTACATGAGGCACCCCACTAGCTCAGCATATGGACCACTAGAATCGACCTGCTCAGCCGAAACAGGAGTAGAGAGCTTGTGATGCACATGCAGAGGGGTGTGCTGAGGAGAACTGGAGACTGAACCTCTGGAGGATCTGCTGCACCACATGGGATTGGAAGAGTGTGATCGTACGAGTGGCACTGTCACAAGAGATCTCCAAGCCTAGATAGCACCTCAGCTCCCCCAAGTCTGTACAGGTGTGTCTCTTCAGTAACTCGGCCTTCATGAAGGACAGTGCGACTCTGTCGGGAGTAGCATAGATAAAATTGTCTACGCATACTAAGATGTAGAACGGTGTCTGACCCGTGCGAACAAGGAGAGAGGGGTCAGTAGAGGACGGAAAGAACTGCAGCTCAGCAAGAGTGGTGCGAAGCGTGTCGTGCCACTCATGGCTTGCCTGACGAAGGCCGTAGATAGGACGGCGCAGGCTCCACTCGGTCCCAAGTGGGAAGGACCCAGAGAAACCTAGAGGGCGCCGGAGGTAGATCTGCTCGTGCAGACTACCCTGCAGGAACGCTGTGGAGAAGTCGAGTGAGTGAAGCTCGTAGTCACACTGCACGGCTATGGGAAGAAGAACCCGAAGTGTAGTCATCTTCGGGGTCGCGGAGAAGTTCTGGAAGAAGTCCACATCTCACGCTGACTGAAGCCTCTAGCCATGTAACGCGACTTGAACTTCGACGGCTCTCTAGGTGCGCGCTTCACCCTGAAGATCTGCATGCCATCGACTATGTTCACCCCATGTGGGAGAACTGCGTCGACGTACGTGCCTATGGGTCTGTAGCATGCCATCTCAGCCTCCATGGCCTGTATCCATTGGGCTGTCCAGGGTCCCGACACTACCTCATCGTAAGAGCGCGGAACAGGGATGTCGAACCGTCTGGATTGCCCTCTAGGGATAC